AACCGGACCTGGCATCCCACAGCACAGTGTCCATAGCTCTGCCACTTTTTTTTTTTTTTTTTTTTGACATAGAGTGTTGCTATGTTGCCCTTGGTAGAGTGGCGTCACAGCTCACAGCAACCTCAAACTCTTGGGCTTCAGCAGTTCTCTTGCCTCAGCCTCCCAAGTAGCTGGGACTACAGGCGCCTGGCTATTTTTTGTTGTTGCTGTGGTCATTGTTTAGCAGGCCCAGGCTGGGTTCTAACCCACCAGCCCCAGTGTATGTGGCCAGTGCCCTAACCACTGAGCTATGGGTGCTGAGCCCTCTGCCACTCCTCTGACCAGGTTCTTACCCGGGAAATGGGAATAAGGAGCTGCCTCCTCCCCGGGAGTTCTCCTTCCTTGGACCCTCAGTGTCTTATCAGCATCACCCTTTCCCCAGCTGCCTCCTGGCTGTGTATAAATAACACTTTCTTGGAAACAGCCCCGCCCACTCATGTATGTATTTTGCCTCTGGCTGCCTTTGTGCTGTGAGGACAGAATTGAGTAGTTCTGACACCACGTGGCCAGCAAGCCTAAGCTATTTATTTCCTGGCTTGTTACAGAAAAGTCATGCCGCCCTAGCCCAGGAGGTGTGTGGGGCCCTTGGCCCTCACTACCCTCACTGTCCTCGCCTTGTTCTAGCCCTGCATGGCCCAAGAGGCTCCTGTCTTCTCCCTGGGCCCCTGTCAATTGCCCCTCCTAGGACTTCCAGAGGGACCTTTCTGAAACCGACATCTGAGCCCGGTGGTCTGACCTCCTTGTATTCAGGTGGGGCAGCCACTGGCCTGGGTCCTGGTTGCCACTGCAGCCTCCCCTGTTCCCTCCCCTGCTCTCCTTAGAGGGCTGTCGCTGCCATCCTGTCTTGGCCTTACCCATGCTGGCCAGGGCCTAGGCTCCAGCCCTTAAAGACTTTTTCCCAGGAAGGGTTCCCACTGCCCTGCCAGAGGGTACCTCATCCTTTTTTTTTTTTGAGACAGAGCCTCAAGCCGTTGCCCTGGGTAGAATGCCCTGGCATCACAGCTCACAGCAACCTCCAACTACTGGGCTTAAGCGATTCTCCTGCCTTTGCCTCCCAAGTAGCTGGGCCTACAGGCGCCCACCACAACACCCGGCTGTTTTTTGGTTGCAGCTGTCATTGTTTGGCAGGCCTGGGCTGGATTTGAACCTGCCAGCTCAGGTATATGTGGCTGGCACCTTAGCCTCTTGAGCCACAGGCACTGAGCCAGGGTACCTCTTCCTTCCAGGTCTGTCCATCACTCTGCAGAACAGCCCTCCCCATGCTCAGCCCTAGCTGATGACCCTGTTCCTCCCCTGTGGGTCTGTGCATCTGGCCTGATGCTGGTTGCCCCTTGGTGGTAGAAGGGCTGGGGGCTGGCTTTCAGCAAAGTGGACTAACTTTCTCTGTAGAGCAGAGTGACCACAACACACAGATGAAAACCTCATTCCCTGACAGTGTTGGTCAGGAAATTTGACCGTAACTGCCTGCTGCCCACCCTGCAACTTTCTCTGTCCTTTATTTTCACCTAGCAGTCAGTCCCGACCCTCCACGCTCAGTTCTGCAGCCTGAATGGGCATCCTAACCAGAAAGTTTCAGTCCCTGTCAGGTGGCTGAGGTGAGACAGGTTGCAAAGGTCACTCTACCCGCTGGTGCCTGCTTCTCCTGGTCCCTAGGGAGGGGAGCCAGAGGGGTGTGTGTGTGTATGTGTGATCTGAGCACCTCGCCTGCTGTGTACTTCACATGTGTTGTTTTATTTTACTTGCCTGGCAATCCTGTGATTGGGGACTTTGTCCAATTTAGAGCTGAGGAAACTGAGGCTGGATGTGAAAGAAACTTGTCTAAGGGCACATGAGTGGAATCTAGAGCTGGAATCGGACCTTGGCTTTTCTGGCTCCAGCTGGGTTTCTGCTGGGTCCAGTAGCACACATAGCTGCCTCCTTCAGACTCAGTAGAGACAGTTAAGGAACCCATGACCTGGCTGGGAACCTGACATCGGTTACAGTGGGAGTTTTAGACCACAGGAATCAGCCAGGCTTCAAGTCAGGACCCTCCCGCCCCCCCACCCCCACACACACACCTTCCAGAGAGCTGGCTTTCAGCATGTGCACCAAAGGCTTCACACAACGTGCTTTTTTGTTCTGTTCTCCCCTTTGGGATCTGTGCAAAATGTTGCCATCAGAGGAAGCCCGTTGAAAACCATCGGTTTTTACAAGAATATGTTGTTTCACATAATGATGTGAATTTCTCGCAGGTTACCACCACCCACTTTTTCCACATCAGAAAAATATGTACTCAGGTTTCATCCTGCGCACAATTTAAAAACCAAACTTTTCACAGACGGTGGGGTTCAAACAGACCATTTAGTGTGGTGCGTAGGAATCATAAAATCATTAGCTATTATTTTGTTCTGCTAACTGTGTAATGCTGTATTTTTATTTTTGTTTGGTTTTTAAAAGCTTCCAACAACATATAATCAATCAGGGTTTCCTGGGTTTTCCTTCCTCCTTTTTTATTTGTGTTAGTAGTTTGGATAATTGCACAACAGTTTATATTTAAGGAGGTTATCATTAATGTGGTTTGGGGTTTATTGCTGCACATTTAGTCACAAAGACAAAAAAAAAAAACTTATAAAGCAGAACATGCAAATGCCACAGTTACTAATGGGAGCGTGTACATGTTCGGGCAGAGTCCTGTTCTTGGTTTATAGCCAGGGTATACTCCAGTCTAAGCTAGTTTCATGATAAATAGAAGGGAAACCATTCAACAAGAGATCAGGAAAATATTTGAAAATGCCAAAGATTTCTAAGTGCCTAGCACATTGATTTTTATTTTATCGCGCTTTCCTTATTGATCCAATTATTTGGAAAGCAGAACATCTACTTGGATAGTTTTACAAAGGATGTGAGGGGAACAGATAGGTGAAGTCTAAAGCGTTATTTTCTTGAAGACAGAAATTGGCCTGTTGGATGAGTGGTTGAAAAGTGGTTCCCAATGAACTGTTATGTTTCACTGAGTTGAATAGTTTGCTTTTGGAGAATGACTAGTAAAGAAAAAAGATGAGATTACAAATGTCTAAGGTAACTGAGAATCAGTTTATGCATCATGGAACTGACCACTGACAGTGTCTGTTCTGTGTGTTTGTTCAGCGCTTTATGGTTTATAGGGTGCTTTCAGATAATTTTTTTATCAAGTCATTTCAAAAAGGCAACATGGTAGCTGTTTTTATGGCTTTGAAAGTTGCTGTATGTGGTAGAGGTGGAATTTTAAAATCTGTGTTTTCTCATTCTAAATTGACAGTTTTAAACATTTTACCACAGCCAGGCATAGACGCTCATGCCTATAATCCTACTTAACACTCTGGGAGACTGAGGCAGAAGGATTGTTTGAGCTCAGGAGTTAGGGACCCGCCTGAGCAAAGCAAGATTTCTATCTCTCTTAAAAATAGAAAACTCAGCTGGACATTATGACAGGTGCTTGTAGTCCCACCTACTCAGGAGGCTGAGGCAGGAGGATCTCTTGAACCCAGGAGTTAGAGACTGCTGTGATTTAGACTGATCCCAGAGCACTATAGCCCAGGCAATAGGGAGAGACTTTGTCTAAATACATGAATGAATTAATGAATCAGCCAATCTACCATAGCTGTATCATTTAAGAAAAACTTAAGAAAGAATCCTATTAACTGCTATAAAATGTTGTTCTTCCTGCCCCAGATCTTTGTGTTGTTAACCTCAGAAGAACAAAAAAAGGCAAGGGTTTTGCTCATTTCAAACTTATGGGCTGGAGTCAACCAAGGTCAGTATGTTAAAGTACAAAGACATATTGTGCTATAGTTTTGGCCAGCCCAGCGCGTTCCTGTCCAGCAAGGATGCTGATTTTCGCATGATAACCTCTAGGGAGGCCAGCAGAACCTTGGTTTGGGGCTCAGGCATGGAAAATTTTCCTTAAAATGACAGCTCTCTCTGGATAGTAGTTTGGGTCAGTTCTTCCCACAGGGAGTGAGTTCTTCCTCCATTCCCACACCCCTGCCACAAGTCCTCTGCAAAATGGGTGAGCAGATACAAGAGGGGAAGGACCAGCTTTGGAGTTCACAGCCCAGCCACTTGGTGGCACCTTTTGGGCAACTCAACTAACCCTTCTGAGCCTCAGTGTCTTTACCTGTGGAATGGGGATAAAAATCCTTTCTTTTTGGTGTTTTGCAAGTGTTAAAAGGAGATTGCACAATGCAACATGGAACCCCCGGGAGGGTTTGGGTCCTCAGTGATTAAAGCAGTAAAGCTGTGGCTTTGTTTCCATTCACAATTGCACAGTGTTCCACACCGTGTCAGAAGCAGTTGAGATATTTTTGACACGGTCTGCTGAGATCCAGAGGAGCTGATGCTGTGGTACCCAGAAGAGATAAGTCACTGCATTGTTTTAGTTTCATAGGTAGTAGTTAGAGCAGCAAAGGAAAACAGTCCCCCTCTGTTAGGAACTGCCATTTCACCCCAGTTTACACTGGAGTCTTGTCAATTTCCATTGCCAAAATGAAACAAGGCAGGGTGAATTTACATGTTCATCATGTCATGATACCTGCAGAGCAGCGAGGCTGTGAGGAGACAACCAGGCTTGTCCACATGCAGGCCCACGGAAGACGCTGCCTGGCCTGGAGGGTCCCTGCAGCCCTCATGGGGCACAGGTAGGGAGACGGTTCCAGAAGACATTCTCCCTTTGCAGAGCCCTGATCTGCATTCTGTGGTCTTGTGCCTCCTGCTCAGTCTCTGCTTCTAAGTAGGATCCCCTAACGTGGCCTGAGTGGCCGTGGCATGTGGTGTCATAGTTGTATGCTTCTCTGGGGACTTGGTGTCACCCTTCACCTCTGTTCCCCCTCTGCACATGGCTCTCACCTTTTCTCTCTGAGCCCCCGGCTGGGGCTTTGCCCAGGGCTCCCAGGTGGAGCCTGTTTGGCATTGGGTCAGCAGGGAATTCATTGTCAACTCTGCATGTGCATCTGTGTGCAGGGGTGGAGAGAAGAGCCATTGTGCACAGCATCTGAGGTCCTGGGCAACAGGATGGGTCAGGGGCCACGTGCGTTGGGAGTGGTGGCTGTCCTGAAAGTGGCTTTAGAACTGAGCCCACAGGGCAGCTGTGATTTCACAGGGGTGCATGATGGCAGAGCACACCGGATGCTCCCTTAAAGTAGGTGAGCTTTATTTCAGACAAGAAGGGAGGCTTGGGTGCAGGGACAGGTGTGAGCAGAGCTGGGTTTTCCTGAACTATGGTGGCGGGCCGAATGAGGAAGGAAGCCATAGAGGTGCTTTCTGTTCTCAAAACAACTCTTTTTGGCATCCTAGTTGTCTTTTTGGAAAAATGAGCCTGTGCACATCCCAAATCTGTACTTCCAGGGAGTGTGTCTACTTCTACATGCACTGAGTTTTAGAAAGCGTTTCAGGCAGTTCGTGGACGCTGGAAATTCTCTCTACAGGAGACTAGTTAGCAAAGCTGGTGTAGGAGCCCGCAGGAAGGGTGGGGCTTGAGGGCCAAAGGCTGTGCTGTGGCCCGAGACTTCAGCTGACTCGCGAGACTCTAGCTTTTCACTGTGGTCCTGGGTCACTGCTTGGATTTTGGCCATGTCTTTCAGCACATCACCACCCACTGCCCCTGATGTCCCCCACCTCTACAGCACCTTATTTTTTAATCATGTGGTGTGTACCAGGTTGAATAGTACCCCCCCCAGTTCACACCCACCTGGAACCTCAAAATGGGACTTAGGAAATAAGGTCTTCGCTGATCTAACTAGTTAAGATGAGATCATGGTAGACTGGGCCCTAAATCCAATGACTAGTGTCCTCCTAAGAGGCCACATGAACACACAGAAGAAAGACGAGAACACCATAAAGAGACTGAGACAGGAATTGGCGTCGAGGGTCGGCAACCAAGGATGGCCACCAGCACTCCAACGTGGAAGGAGCAAGGAAGGGTCTGCCTTGGGGCTCCAGAAGGGATCAACTCTGCCAACACCCTAATTGTTGACTTCTAGCCTCTTCTAGCCTACGAGAGAGTAGGTTTCTGTTGTTTTAAGCCATGTAAACCACCTCTTTGTCCAAGTAGTTGGTCCCATGAGCCCTACGGAAGAGATAGCCAGCAGCATCTTGGGGGTAGAGCTGGGACTGCCCTGCCCTGCAAGAAGGAACCTGCCTTCCTCTTCCTGGCCCTTGGGAGTGGACAGAAAGCCCAGCGCTGAGTCCATATTGGGGGAAGGATCTGTAGGTGGCTGAGGTTCCATGGAATTTTGGGGAAAATCTTAAAACTCTAACCTGGATGCTTCTGTTTTTGTTCAGTTCTTTGGCACTGCTATAGAATGTGCTCCCTGGACCAGCAGCACCCAGGAACTTCTTAGAAATGCAACCCAGCCTTTGTCTCTGCTTTCCTGAACTGGAAACTCTGGGGCAGGGCCAGAATCTGGGCTTCAGCAAGCCCTCAGCGTGTGTCTGATGCCCACGCGAGTTTGGGGACAGCACCATAGACCTTCTGGAAGACGTGCACAATGTCTAGTGCTATGTGAAATATTTTTACTTCCAAGCTTTCATCCTAGCACAGATCTGGCATGGGGCTTTCTGGGAGTCCAGGTAATTCAGGTTGGAGGCTCCATATAATCACTGTTAGGTTCCTTGCCCACTGGCATGGCCCCATTTCATCTCTGGTGAACTTGGAGACTCTGGAGAGTCCCTTCTGCATTAGCTTTCCTTGCCTTCTTGTGTCTGTTCCCTCATCTGTATCCTAAAGTATTTTATATCTGCCTCCATCTTAAGGTCTTAGCAGTTTTTTAAAGTATTCAAGTGGATTTGTTGAGAGCCTCTGCCCTGTGCTAAGCTCTGGGGACTTGGGTGCACCAGAAAGATGGGGCCTCTTCCACCATGTGTCTTATCCTAGAGATGGGGGTAGGGGAAAAGGGAGACCAAAAAAATTACAAATAAATTCTGGAGGGTGCTCTGGAGGGAGCCATTGGGGGTCTGTGAACATCTGTTAGAAACAGTGGTCTGGAAAGGCCTTTCAGAGGAAGGTGAGAAAGCAGTTAGCCACAGGTGGGACCCAGGTTTCAGGCCTTGGGGCTCTGAGATGTCAGTGAGCTTGATCTGTTAAGGAAGAGAAGGCAGGCCAGGTTGGAGGGGCATGATGACAGACGCAAGAATTGGGCAGGGTGGGGCGGCGCCTGTGGCTCAAAGGAGTAGGGCGCCAGCCCCATATGCTGGAGGTGGTGGGTTCAAACCCAGCCCCAGCCCAAAACTGCAACAAACAAACAAAAAAAAAAAAAAATTGAGCAGGGCCTGTGGCTCAAAGGAGTAGGGCGCCAGCCCCATATGCTGGAGGTGGTGGGTTCAAACCCAGCCCCAGCCCAAAACTGCAACAAACAAACAAACAAAAAAAAAAATTGAGCAGGGCCCTGTAATGCGAAGAGCACTCATTTTATTGGAAGCTGCAGGGAGTGGTGTGCTCTGGCTTTTGCTGGATGTGGGAGCTTCTTGCATCCAGGAAACAGCATCCTGCTGAGGGACACAGTGGCCTGGACTGGAGATGGTGAGGGGCTGATGGACTCAAGGTGCATTTGGAGGTAGAATTTCTAGAACTTACAAGTGACTTGGATGGCCCCTGCCATCATGGACCTTATATCTAATTGGATAGAGATTCTTGAATAATCACCTGATGCGTAGAAGGCTGCAGGTAGGGGTGGACCACAGAGGGGATGGCCTCAATGTTCTTGGCTTGTAATAAGAGCAGGGTGGATTTGACCCCATAGTGGTGGGGACAGCTGGTTGAAGAGACTGTGGATCAGGGAGATCTCAGGATGAACAGACATCAGGTAGTTGATGAGGACTGGGGCAGACAGGAGGAGCAGAGGGGGTGAATAAACAAGAGACACTCGGTTGTTGTGATCCAGGGAGGACATGTGGGCCACAGTGGTAGTGATGGGGTGGGGAGGAGTGAGTGGGTTTGGCAGAGTCTTAGGACACAGTGGAATGGGTTGAAGACGGGCTGGATGTGGAGCGGGCGAGAGGTAAGTACTGAGGAGACTGATTGGGTGGCAGTGCCATCTCTGGGTCAGGAGGAAGGCCTGGCAAGATCCAACCTTAGGAGTTTAGAAAATACCACTTGGGAGCAAAATCATGCAAGCAAAGAAGTCCCGTTCTGTCTTTTCCTCCAGTCTTGTTCCTCGACTCTCCTAACAGTTCAAGGTAATACTATATCTGCAGGATCATATAACTTTTTGATGGAAGATATATAAATACATATGGACAATTTTCTTTTCCTCCCAAAGTGGAAAATAATGTTTATGCTTAGGGATCATTCCAAGTTTTCCACTCATTCTCAACTTATTTGGCCTAAAATTTTTAATACGACCTCGTAAGGTAAATGTTGAACAAACCAATTAAAAAATATATACCCCGAATCAGATCTCATTCATTTAATTTCAATTAAAAAACATATTTTCTTCTTATTAAAAACATTTTAGAGCAAGATCGTTAGATTTTTCAAGCATTCCTAGTTCAACTTGCACATATTTGCACCTAATTACCAGGTGCTGAAGTGTGAGCAAGAGAGGCCTGTTCTCCAGGAGAAGAAAGATGCCTCCTGGAAACGGCATCACCATCTGGTAACTAAACTAGCACCCCGTGTACCCAAGATTTGGACTTGCTGTGTGTGTCAGAGTAAGGCTGGGGTGTGGTCTCACAGATACTGCTGCGACTTTCTCCTATTTTATTAAGTGTTTTTTTGTTTTAGGCTTTTTTTTTTTTTTTTTGTAATAATGACTTGCTTGCTGAGTCCTCACTTTATGACCTACCTGTCCATATAGAGGTCACTTCACATCCCAGATCTGCCCTTTCCTGGGTGTGTAGCTGTAGGTGAGTTCCTAATCTCCTTGAGCCTCAGTTATCATCTGTGAAGAGTGGGAGATAACATGTGATAACCAGATGCCTCCTGTGACTACAAAGAGTCGACTCTCTGATCTCTGTAAAGCACTTGTCACAGTCTCTGGAATATAGTTCTCCATAGATACCTGGTGTAATTATTACATCTCAGGTACCCTGCTGGTGGTTTACAGATTTTATAGGGGCTGATACCAACACATAAAGGGATTCAAACTTCGGAGAGTTGATTTTTCTCACCAAATCACGGGGAGCTGACAGCACGGGCATCCCCTTTAACTCTGAAGCCCAACTCTGCTCTGTTGCCTTTTGACACATGTAACATTTTCAACCTGAACAAGTTTCCTCTTGAACAAAATGAGTTCTGTTTTATGATCCACGTGTTTTGTGTTGATGCCTGCCTTCACTGGCGCTTTCACTGAGAACATCTGCTGTGTACGAGTTACCGGCCAATCCTGCCCCTGTTGGTGGGAAGCCACTACCATAGAACCTCCGTAGCTGACCACTTCCCGGTATTGACCACCTCCTTAAGTTGACCTAACTGCATAGACCAGCCTACACCACATGCATGCATCAGTGCAGTAGGCCTGGTTCCTTATGTTGACCAGTTTGGTACAGTCCTTTGGGTGGTCAACTTACAGAGGTTCTACTGCTCATGTATACAGAATGACTCTTGTTTTATTGGCCCCTGTTTGCTGCAAACACAAATGAATACTTGAGGGTCTGGTGGACCAGAAGCGATGGGAACGATGTATTTCAATCCAGTGCTCCT